TTAGTTAACTGATCTTTACGTCAGTCTACATTGCCTGAAAATTGTTGTAAACACGTCGATCATAAAACATAATATAAGAACTAAAACATTTATAACAAGATAAATAATTTTTAATGGGCTTGATGGCGTTGTGATGATTAAAGCAATCTTTGTATCAAGTTTTAAAGAAAAAAAAAAATACCAACGACATTGATATATTTTTTGTTCTGAGAAATTGCAGCGGTATTGTAGATCTTTTCTTCAGTTCTTCAGTTTTTTTTCTTGTTACTTTCGCTATTCTATTTTGCAATTCTAGTCAGGCAGTGTATACATGAGATGCCCTGAGGCATCACGCACTTTCTCTCGGACGCTTTTCCGGTAGATGCAGAGTAGCGAAAGGGTTAATCCTCCCACGCGCGCAGTCTCTGTGCATACGTCGCAGTAGGGATATACCCTCGTGAAGCCGTGCAAGGGGGATGCATGTACGTGTATACATTTTGCACTGTGGCGTACGCTCCCTTCTCATGCCTGTCCGGCTCCAACATCCTCTTTGTCTTTCTCATTGTCTCCGTGTGTTCGCGCGTTAATCGCAGATTAAGCAAGAAAGGGAGAGGAGAAGATGGATGAGGGAACTATGGACGAAAAGAAGACAACGGAAAGGGATGGAATCAGGGTTGGATTTCCTGTTCATACTTGTCGTGACGTTAATGGAAAGTTTATCTTACAACTCTAGAGAGGATCTTACGAAAAACATACAAAATGTGGAAGAATGAGGACATATGAAATTTTTATCCGAATATTGAACCAATAATATGTATGACCTATAAGTAAGTAATAAGTAGCGATGTTAATAGTGATGTAAAACGAGTTGTGATCAATAGCATGAAATAAAGTGCTCTATTACTGTATACCGAAACTGCACAAATAGGCGATAGATTAAAAAAAAAGACATTAAGCTATCGATATCAGAAGCATAGTTATTTCTAAATATACGCTTTGTGTGTATGTGTGTGTGTGTGTGTGTGGGGGGGGGGCATTTAAAAAATTAACCATCTGTAGTGCCATTTGAAGTTGCATATCCATATTATTAGAAATTATTTGTGTTTATAAATCAATATTTTTTAAGTCTCAATGATTTAATCAATGTTTCCATTAATTATTTTTCTTCAAAATTCGATAGAGAATTGAAAATTTTAAAAGTTAAAACGTTTCAAATTTCTCGAAAATACTTCCCTTAATTTCTATTTTATAGACACGTTTTGAGATATTCGATCTACGTACTCTCCTACTTATCTTGATTATCAAAATAATCTTAAAGAAATTCTAACTTTCTTCAGTACTTGTTCGAACAGAATATGACGATCCTTTCCGATCTCGATGTCTTTCTTTCGCTTGAAGGGTCTCCGCCGCGCGCGGTGGATTCACACTCGGTGTCAGGTCGATAGTTTTCCACGCTCTCCGTCGTTGCAATTTTTGCCTGTGCACTCAACGTGCGGCACCCGTTCGCACCGGTAAGACTGGTTATATCCATGAAGAGTGGCTGCTCGATGAAAGGATCTTCTCGACAACTCTTTACGGCCAGGTTCAATCGATCGTTCTCTTAACGCGCGTCATCTTAGATGTGTCGTGCAAAAATGCAACCATTATTATATATGTGTATATATATATATATATATATATATATATATATATATACACACACACACAGTATACTTCATTTCACGTCATCGATCACGACTTGTTTTACATCATTATTAACATCGCTACTTATTACTGGCACATATCATTGTATGTCTCACACGTACAATTATTTACTTAAGAAAATTATTTATTGATTCAATTGATTTAGAATAAAACAAAGTATCTATTGGAAATATTTCTCAGAGTGTACAACTTTCGAGTAATTATATTGGATTGTCCGGTAAGTTCGTGTTGAAGGAAAATTGAAACGCAGAAAATTTAAATTTTAGTATACATTTATTAAATTATATAGATTAGTCGGCACGAACTTTCCGGACAACCCAATAAGTAACATTATTGATTTCTTTACAATATTTGTATTCTTGTAATTATGACATTGCAACATAGCGAAATTCATTTCTTATAATAATATGAAGAAGGAAATCTTCGAAACTTTTATAAAACTAACAGGCTTGAGAAAGATAAGGCTCGCGATAAGGGCGTGGAACTACTAATATAACTACAACGATGTTAACTATTAATTAGAATTTATTTTACATCGTCATCGTTATTGTTATACTGAAAAAGTTTCTGGTTGAAAATAGAGATAAACCAGAAGATTCTGACAATAATCAGAATTCTGGATGTCTTGACTAGAATTGTAGAAATAAATTTAATCAGAAAATTCTATTTATCCATCTATTCAACCAGAATTCTAAGTTAGTGCAATCAGACTTTTTTGTCATTGAACATATCGATTCTAATTTCTACCAAGAATTATAATTAATATTAAAAAAATAGAAAGTATGTGACTTAAATAAAGGAAAAGATTGAGCAGATCGCGTGATTGTAATGGCTACGCGATATTAGATTTATTTTTTTTTAGCGGAATTTTCTTGCACTATTCGTCTTTCTCTCTCTCTCTCTCTCTCTCTCTCTCTCTCTCTCTCTCTTCTTTTTTTTCAAAGGTGAAAAAAGGAAATATAAACCGAGCTATAAGAAATTTAACTAAAAAGAACAGACCTATTAATATCTTTTACTGTTAAATTTATAATGTTAAATTATATTCAATTTGACTTATTTTGAACCATTTCTATAAATGCTAAACCACTGCTTCTTCTCAATATGTCTAATTAAACAACTAAAACAATGAAGTTAAACAATTTAATTTGAGAAAGTTTATGTATTAAGTGTATTAAATTTGACTAAAAAAAATTTGGATTAGATATAGACATTGTTTTACGCTGAAACTATCCACCAAAGTGGATTGATTTATATTTTAACACACACGGAAGTTAATAATAATAAAATGTTATTTAACAAGGAATGGGATTAGTATTGCTTCTTTGATCTCTAACAAGATTGCGATATCTGTATTTGACAATGTCACCGGTGCTTTCTATCGAGGAAGTCACAAGTCTTCCGCGGTTGTAGGGTCGGTTGGAGGCGACGGCTAGCCTTATACAAGGGCGTGGCCATGTTTATCCGAAATAATTGCACGCATCGACGACAGAGCAAAGCGAGTAAGATAGGCATAATAAAATAGCCAAAGAAGTACGGCCATCGTACTAATTACCGCGAAAGTATCGAACCGCTAATCGCAGAACGCGCGCGCGAGTGTACGAGCGAGCGAGCGAGCGAGTCATTGACCTTCGCTTCTGGCAAAGAGTTTCGTTCGTGCGTTCCGGCCCGCATCCTTTATATCTCCGCAGGTAGGTGCGCAAGTGGCTGCAGGAATGTGCTTTCGTTCGAGGCCCCTGAGTGCTTCATTTTTCTTACGTGGACGTCAAGTAGCGTCAACGACGCGTGATATTATCCTCGTCGTCGGTTTATGACTACCGAGCGTTATCCGGATAAGAGATTGCTTACGAATGAGAAACGCTCCATATATTTGCCCGTTTTTTTTTTTTTTTTTTTTTTTTTTTAAAGGAAACATATAGTTGCCGTGCTGGTATAATTTTAAGAGATAGAATTCTCGATTCTTTTAGGTAAATCCTGGAGCAAAAAGGATTCGAAGGATTAAATGATAGAATTCATGACGTGTTGTTTTTCCATACATTTTTCTTATCTTCATTCTACACTCCTTACTGTTTTTGCTATCTTCTCTTTTGCCTTTGTTTTTATTATGCTATTCTCTTAGAATGGTATTGTATAAGTTGTGCAACTCTGTGACATGCTACATTTGTTCGATATTTGCATTCTTTAGCTTATTAGTGAAATAAGAAAACACACTACTTAGTGTATACATGTTACATTTATTAGATTCGTGGCGAAGCCTTTGCAGAAAAAATTAAATCGAAATTGAGTTTTGTACTTTAGCCGGCTTCTGTGGCATTCAGCAAAACTGACTACTCCGTTATTTCTCCATAAGTCACGTGCAAATCATGATATATGTTTCTACACGTAGCACATGTATGTAATACTAAATTTAATGTTAACTTGCTAGATATTTTCAAACATTTTCTCTCTATAATGTAGAAAGTAGAAATGTTTCGTATGTTTATCTATCGATTTTTTAAAATCTCTCGAAATTTTAAATAAAATATATCACGTATATAATTATAGCTTCAATTCTTATATATTCTTACATTTAAATTGCTACTTTAAATTTATGGAAATATTTTAATTTGATTAACTTGACGTAAAACAGTCAATATCGTTTATATCCAGACAGTAAAATATTAATTCTATAATTTGACGCAACATAATTTTTCTTTGTCCTCGAGGGAAATGACTGAATTGTTTTAACTTTTGTTTGTCGATATATTTCATAGTGTTGATCAGACAATACCAAATTTCTTTATATGCCAAAAATTAATTTTTAGTCATCATTTAAATTATAGATTTACCTGACATCACGTCACAGTTTCGCTATGTACGTTTTGAAACAGTACAAATTATCGGATTAATTACTATGCACGCGATTGTGTTAAATGGAACATCCCCGCGATAAGTTTACGCGAGAGCATTTCATAGTCGACGACCATAATTCCATAGTGACCGCATGTACCGCAGCCGATCTCGACGATCTAATTTTCTCACATTGACTGCAATCAGCAGCAGCCGGAGTTATCGCACAGCATTTAATTATCGCGCAATCATATTGTCCTCAGCCTGTAATATCTATATGAAACATCACGTAGCTCGGTACATTGGTACTAATGCGCCATTGTAACGTGAATCGAATCATTTACTTTAAAAAAGAAAATTGCGCCCTGCTACAATAACCCAACATCACTCGCCCCCGGAATTCTCCTTTATAATTTATCGCTGTGCCCTTTTCCCCTATACACTATCATTCCATTTATAATACTCATGTCGACCTTTCTTTTTCTTTACAGGGAAGAACCTGTACAATAATGAGCACGTAGCAATTAAAATGGTGAGTAAGAACCGAGTATTTTATGTAATTGCGATACGTAAAAAAAACTCGGCGCACTTCCGCTGTCGACCTCACTTGTTACGCTTGTTGTCGCAGGAACCAATGAAGTCAAAGGCGCCACAGCTACATTTAGAATATAGGTTTTACAAATTATTAGGTACACATGGTGAGTATCATTTTTACGTTGTTACATTCAAGACTTCGCGTAATAAGATTGAAGACATACATTTACAGATACAAGTAAAGCGAAATTAGAGAATGTATTGAGCAAAAAAATTTTAATAGGAAGGAATTGTGAAATATTCGCGTTAAAATATAAAAAAGACTTTTATAGAGAGTAACGGAGTAGAAGGTAGTTTATTAATTCTATGACGCCTATAAAATAAATCAATAACTCTCAAATAAATGTTCTCGGTACTTCAGAGTGCCGTTAATCTTTCGTCGATGACGCTGCGAGAAAATAGTCCAGCAGCAGCTTGAACCTTTACATAATTTAATGTAATACGACATGTGAGATGTAATTTACTTCAATTTTCACGATCTGAGTTAGTTAAATCTCATGTGAAACAATCGCACGTGTAATTTCTATACGCTTGACTAGCTCGACATAAATTAGCGTC